AAGCTACCGATTTCCGGTACCCATAGCATTGTGGGCTCAACTATTGGCTTCTCGTTGGTAGCCAGAGGCACCCAGGGTTTGAAATGGTCAACCATGGGTACCATAGTTGGTTCTTGGTTTATATCGCCGGTCTTAAGTGGTTTAGTCAGTATTTTGCTATTTTTGGCAATACGCAAGTTTATATTGAGAGCCGCTGAACCGCTTAAAGCCGGTTTCCGTTCGTTGCCCATATTCTATGGTGTGACATTTTTCATAAATGTCATCAGTGTTATGTTGGATGGACCAAAGTGTAAGTTTGATTTACCCGAAATACTCGGAAGTTATTAAACCATGCCAATAACTCTTGTCTTGTAGTGCTTTATATGGATAACATACCCACCTGGTTGGCTGTGACTGTTAGTGTGGCATTGGGTCTATTGGTGGCCATATTGACTCAGCTGGTGTTGGTGCCTATGCAGAAGCGTAAAATTGCCAAACAATTAAGAGCTAAAAATCCTGTCAAATTTCAATTTGAGGATTCTGTGGGTAAGTGGGAAATTAGTGCCTAACCATTTTAATAGAATATCTTAATAGAAATTCTCCTTTTTTCAGAATCCTCACCGTCCGGTAGCCCTAAGAAAAATCGTCGTCCTCTCAGTTTGGTGAGCGATGGCAAACAACTGCCTGCAATTGCCGAAATTACCGAGCTGGTCTCGTTGACAGACAATTCGCCAAAAACCTTTAAGCTAGCCCCCTTTAATTTGAACGGCACGAAACCGTTGAACGGCGGCACCACACCCGATGGCTATAAAATCAATCCGGAAATCATCAAAAAGGCCGAAGATCTCTTGGGCAAAGCCAGTCTGGACAATACCGATTTGACTATAACCAGTTTGAATTTTATTGACGAACAGGCCAACGGCAATGGAAACGGCTTGAATGGTCTGAATGGTCTCCACAAAACGACACCCAAGGATAATTTGAATTCATTGGAAGCTTGTTTTAAGCCACCACAACAAATATCTGCCACTCAGCAAACCAATGAGCTTCCTAATCTAAATGCCAATGCCAATGCAACAGCAAACAACAATAGCTTACCACCACCGCCACAATCTGCATTGAAAGTTTCCGATTCCCTGGATACCATGGATGAATGTGATAAGGCAACAGCAAGCTTGATGCCGAACAGTATTGAAAATTCGAAAAATCTCAAAGTCATTGAGAGTGGTAGCAGTTTGGACATGATGATTTCCTCAACGCTATCGCCAAATTCCAGTAAAGTTCCTTTAATTGAGAGCAAAGAAGCCATTAATGATTTTAAGAATCCCTCAGCGGAACACAGCGACGAGGAGACGGAAGAAGTTTCAATGCTATTTTCATTTTTACAAATTTTAACCGCTACATTTGGTAGTTTTGCTCATGGTGGTAATGATGTGAGGTAAGTGAAAAAAAAAAAAAAACAGAAATTAAAATGTCAGGTTATGTCTTAGATTTTAACATCTACATATTTCTCTTGTTCTGAGACCCATAGTGAAATTTTGTCAAGAACATATTATCCTTTAACACCAACCCCCTAAAATGAAGAGCTAGGGGGGATTTGGCCCAAATTCGAGTTATATATAAAAAACCTAAATTTTAATATATCCCCTAAAATATTGTAAATTAAAAAGTAAGGTTATATACTAGATTTTTGGGTCCTACAAATTTCTTTTGTTCGGTGACCCATAGTGAAATTTTGTGAGGAATATTTCTTTCATTGGCATCACCCCGCTAAAATGAGTTCTTTAGGGTAATTTCCGTCTCAAATCGAATCTAACCTTCAAATACCTTTATTTTAGGAAATTAAATTAAAAAATGAGGTTTTACCCTAGATTTTGAGGTCCTATATATGCCTTTTGTTCTATGACCCATAGTGAAATTTTGTAAAGAATACTTCTTCCATTGACATTATGCCCCTAAAATCAGGCAAAAAAGAGGATTTTTGCAGATTTCCAATATAACCTACAAATAACACAAAGTTGTAATATTCATTTAAATGTTGTAGATTAAAAAGTGAGATTATGTCCCAGAGTTTTGGATCCTACAAATTTATTTTGTTTGGAGACCTATAGCGAAATTTCGTGGGGAATATTTCTTCCATTGACATGATTCCACTAAAATGAGGTATAAGGGGGATTTTTGTCTTATATCTGATTTAACCTACAAATGACATAATTTTATGATATACCTTAAAAAATTTTAAATTAAAAACTGAGGTTATATCCTTGATTTTGGGTCCCACAAATTTCTTTTGTTCGGTGATCCATAGTGAAATTCGGCGAGGAATACTTCTTCCATTGACATAGTTCCGCTAAAATGAGGTATAAGGGGTAATTTTGGCTGATTTCCAATTTAACCTACAAATAATATAATTTTATGATATACCTTAACATATTGTTAATTAAAAACTGAGATTATATCCTTGATTTTTGGGTCCCTCAAATTTCTTTTCTTCAGTGACCCATAGTGAAATTTGGTGAGGAACATTTCTTCCATTGACGTGATTCCGCTAAAATGAGGTATATGGGGAGATTTTCCCTGATTTCCGATTTAACCTAGAAATAATATAATTTTATGATAAACCTTAATTAAAAACTGAGGTTATAACTTTGATTTTGGGTCCCATAAATTTCTATTGTTCGGTGTTCCATAGTGAAATTCGACGAGGAATATTTCTTCCATTGACATGATTCCGCTAAAATGAGATATAAGGGGGAAATTTGCCTGATTTTCAATTTAACCTACAAATTCTTCACTCAGAATAATTTTTATTTTATTTCACTCTGTATGTATGTCTACCGATTTATGTTGTTCTGCGGCTTATTGTGAAATTTTGTGTAGAATTTTTTTTTCAATCAACCCTATCCCCTAAAATAAAAATTCTGCGGAAAATTTGGCGGAAATTCAAAAATTTTCAAAATCAACCTTAAATCTTAAAAAATTAAAATTAATACTGTTATTTATTATGTTATGTATTGAATCTACACATTTGATGCCATTGGGAACTTCTAGCGAAATTTAGTATAGAACATATTTTCCCTTTACACCAAACCTCTAGGATAACTTGTTTTGGCAATAATGAACCATTTTCTATAGGCATACGTACTTAACCTACAAAAAATTCACTTTTTATTTTTCCAAATTATTATTGAACTGTTTTGCCATATACATTATATCTATCGATATCTTTTGTGTGGAGACTCATAGCAAAATTTAGTGTGGAATATGTTCTCCATTTACACCAATCCCCAAAATCGAGGTTTTATGGGACATTTTGCCTAAAACTTAAAAATAATCATGTCGGGCTTAACCATAACATTTGTATTTTTCTATTAATCAAATTAAATACGGCTAATTATTTTTATAAATATAATATCTACCCATTAGCTCTCTTTGGAGACTTATAGTAGAATTTGGTAGAGAACATATTTTCCTTTAACACCAATCCTCTAGGATGACTTCTTCCGGCAAAATAGGGCCTATTTCAAAAAGTCTACAAAACTAGTCTATTTTTAGGTTATGTAAACATTTTTTTCTAATCGTTTTTCTGTTTCTCTTTTCTTTCCAGCAATGCCATTGGCCCCCTAATTGCTTTATATATGATTTATCGTGAAGGTTCTGTGATGCAAAAGGCCGAAAGTCCCATATATATTTTGATATATGGTGGTATTGGCATTTCTATAGGTCTATGGCTATGGGGTCGTCGTGTTATTGAAACCATTGGCAATGATTTAACCAAAATTACCTCATCAACGTAAGTACCCATTGGATTGGAATACAATTTTATATAATTTTAACCGTTTCCTTTTTCCTATTCTCTTCTTTAGTGGTTTTACAATTGAAATTGGTGCTGCTATAACTGTACTGCTGGCCAGCAAAGTTGGTATACCAATTTCCACGACCCACTGTAAAGTGGGTTCGGTGGTATTTGTCGGTCATATAGCCTCTAAGGGAGCCAAAAAAGACAACAACAACAGCAATAATGGTGAAACGAAGCAATCAACAACAGCAACAACCACTAAAACCGAACTAACCAAAGATGATATGCAAGCTTTAGAGAATGGTCCCGAAACTGCGGCCAAAGGTCATGGTCATTCCGATGGCAGTGTTGATTGGCATTTATTCCGTAATATTGCCTATGCTTGGATTGTTACGGTACCCGTAACAGCATTACTGAGTGCAGCAATAATGTTTATTTTATGTGTGTCAACCGGTGTTTAAGTCAAAGGAAAAACGGATGGTTTTTAAATTATTTAAAAAAAAAAATAGTACTTAGCATGCAAACTAGAACAACAATAGTTTACAACAATAAATTATAAAAAAGAATACAAATAATTGTCAAAGCAGAGTTAATTCCATAATAAAAAGCAGATAATATAACAAAAAGCCTGCAAATTTTTGTTAGTTTGTATAACAGTTTTAATTTGTTTTTATCTTTTTTTGTTTTCTTTTCAAAACTCTGCTCTACAATTCAGTTTTAATTTTTCTTTGTATGAAACTATAAACCTAACGAACTATCAATATTTTTGTATAACAGTTTTTGTATAACACTTTTTAAACACCAGCACCACACCACCCAGGGTATACATGTTTTATGTTATATTGTATTGTTTAATTATTACAACTTTCTTTCCCCGTATTGAACAGATGAAATACAAATTTTTAGTTTTGTTTTAAGAAAACGCAAACAAATATTTTTTTTTAATTTTTTTAAAATGGCTTAGTGTAAAGCAAACATTTGTGATTGTAATTATTTGAGAGAAAGGTGGAATTATTCAAAATTTTTATTTATAACCAAACAGAAATTAATTTTTTGTTGTTAAATAATGAATATACAAATTTCTTTTCTTCAGCGACCCATAGTGAAATCCGGTGAAGAATAACTTCTCTATTGACACCAGGTCCCTAAAATCACTTTATGGCGCTCCAATGGGCCTTGAGACAAAAATGTACAAAAATAACCTAACATCTGTGTATCTAAATTTAAAATTACTTTTTTCTTGATATCTATTAGTGCTACAGATTTCCTCTATTTGGTGACTTATAGCAGAATTTGTTGAAGAATGTTTCTTCTATTGGTACCTTGCCACAAATCTGAAGTATTGTGGGTCAAATGGCCAGAAAAATGAAGCTAATAGGAAATTTACTCAAAAACTTGTTCAATTTAAAAAAATGAATATTTCGTTGTTAAATATTGATTATATAAATTTTCTTTGTTCCGAGACCCACTATAGAATTCGATGTGGAATATTTTCTCCATTGACAGCAAGTCCCTTAAATGCCTTATTTGGGTACTAATTTATGTTGTATACGAAAATAACCTAAAAATTCTGCATCAAAATTTTAACTCACCTTTTTCATGGTATCTGTTAGAGCCTCATAATTCTTTTTAAAGAAGACTCATAATGAAATTTTCTGCAGAAAAAATTCTTCATTGACCGCTAACTACAAAAATGAAGTTTTATGGCTTAAACTGCCATCAACATGGAACCTAACCTAAAAAATGTTTAAAAAAAGTAAACCAAACTAAAATGAATATTTCTTTGTTAAATATTGATTATATACATTTCGTTTGCTCAGTGACTAACTGTAAAATTCAGTGTAGAATATTTTCTCTATTGGCATCAAGCCCCAAACATGCCTTATTTGGGTACTTATTGGCTCTCCATGAGATATATACAAAAAATAACCTAAAAATTCCCCATCAAAATTTGAAGTCACCTTTTTCTTGGTATCTGTTAGAGCTACCAACTTCTTTTCAAAGAAGACTCATAATGAAATTTTCTATAGAAATTGTTCTTCATTAACGGCATAAACCAAGAATGAAGTTTTATGGGTCAAACTACCATCAACACGGAACCTAACCTTAAAAAAATGTTTAAAAAAAGTAAACTAAACTAAAATGAATATTTCTTTGTTAAATATAGATTATATAAATTTTATTTGCTCCGCGACCCACAGTGAAATTCAATGCAGAATATTTTCTCCATTGACATTAAACCCAAAAATTGCCTTATTTGGGTACTTATTGGCTCTCCATGAGTTATATACCAAATATAACCTAAAAATTCGTCATCAAAATTTGAAGTCGACTTTTTCTTGGTATCTATTAGAGCGACAGACTTCTCTTTAAAGAAGACTCATAATGAAATTTTCTGTAGAAAAGATTCTTCATTGACAGCCACAAACAAAAATAAAGTTTTAGGGGTCAAACTGTCATCAACATGGAACCTAACCTAAAAATTATTTTAAAATATTTAATCCTAACTAAAATGAGTATTTCTTTGTTAAATATTGATTGTATAATTTTCGATTGTTCCGCGACCCACTGTGATATTCAATTTAGAATATTTTTTCCATTGGCATCAAGTCCCAAAAATGCCTTATTTAGGTACTAATTGGCTCTCCATGAGATATATACAAAAAATAACCTAAAAATTCGCCATGAAAATTTAAAGTCACCTTTTTCTTGGTATCTGTTAGAGCTACAGACTTCTTTTTAAATAAGACTCAAAATGAAATTTTCTGTAGAAAATATTCTCCATTGACGATATTAACCAAAAATAAGGGATTAAGGGTCAAACTGCCATCAACTTGAAACCTAACCTAAAAAATATGCCAAATAACTTCCAAAAAATGACTTGCATTGAGAGTGGATTTTTTTTGAGTTAGGTTTAAGCTACAGATATCTTTTGTACGGAGACTCATAGTGAAATTTTGTGTACTATATTTCCTCCATTGATGGTTCTTGTCAAAAACAATGTTTTGTGGGTTAAAAATCGTCAAAGAGAAAAACCAGTCAGTATTGGCACCAAAACACTTGGTACGAAATGTATGACTTCTTTTGAGGGGGTTAGACTCTAGCTGGAGATTTCATTTGTTCAGTGACCCATGGTCAAATTCAATGAGGAATAATTTTCCCATTACAACCCTGGTCCAAAACTGAAGTATTGTGGTCCGAAATTAGGCATTTTTACTTGTCTGGCTTAAAAAACCTCTTAACCTCACTTTGTGTGTTTCAAATTAATTCCAAAAATTAATGTCTAAACAATATTTTTCTTGAAAATTCCATTGTTTATATCTCTCAACAAAAAAACCATCTTCTTTACTTGCTTTACATTAGGGCCATAATTGTTTTGAACTTGAAACACCCAGAAAACAAAAACTGCTTCAAGGTTTTGAGAAAAAAAACAAAACACCAACTTAAAATAGAATTGAACAAATAATTGAAAATATTTTAACTAAATACCCAATATAAGCCATAAAAATTCCTATTCTCCAATAATTTCACACAGCTCTTAAATGCAATAACAAGGAAATAACAACAAATACAACAGCAACACTTAACACCTAATTACAAAGTAATAAACAAAACAGATACTGTCGTCATAAATAGTTAAGTTCATTAAAGAAACCAAAAAATATTTTTATTTCTTGGATAATAACAAAACAAAGCATTTCATTTATAAAAAAAAACAACAAAAAACGAACAACAAAAACAAGCAATAGCATTTTTTGGGTTTTTAAATGTGAAAAAAATACGAGAACGAGACGAAAATTACTTAGCTTAGCTTTAAAAACAAGAATGTGTAAATTCTTTTGACATTTCCATGATTTTGTATTTTTTGTTTTCCCCCAATACTCTTCCTCATAAATATTTGTACTTAATTTGTGACTCAAATTAAATGGGCAATTCTATTGGCTTTTGGGAATTCTTGAGGTTTCCATTTGCCAATAGGAATTGCCTGGTATTGAGAGTCTTCGAACATGCCGTTTTTTTCGAAATATTTGTCCTTTTTTTTATTTTCAAATCTGTGTCTATTTTTCTATACAACATTGAAACAAAATCAACTACAAATTTAAAAAAAAAAAAATAATAATAATAAAAAAGAAACTGAAAATAATTGATATTATCGCATAAGTGATTGCATACAATTAAATGGTTAATTAATATTATTAAATAATTGTATTGTATTAATTAACTATTATTATTATTAATATTATACAAACAAAACAAACTATTAAAACAATGATTGTAAAAGATATGCAAAAAAAACATGAAACGATAATCTCAAGAATCATAGAAGAGAAGAAGAAACAAAATACAAACCTATGTAAAATGAAAATTAAAATAACTGTTTATTAACATAACATGAAGAAGAAGAAGACGAGTAATTTTGAAATGTGTTTTTGAAAACAAAAATGTGAAAACGAAAAGACAAATAAAAAAAATTCCAAAAAAAAAAAGATAATAAAAAATACGAAAGAAAAGAACAAAGAGTTCGAAGGCAAAAATGACTCCACGAAAACAAGAAGAAACAATGGTGTTATTTTTTACATTTTAAGCGATTTGAAATTAATTTTTTTCCTGGTATGGACTATAGTTATCGATTTTTGGTCTGTGGGAACCCATAGTGAAATTTTGTGTAGAGTAATTCTTTCATTGGTTCCGAGAACAAAAAATTAGGTTTTATGGATGTAAGGAACATCTTGTCGAATGGTATCAGAAATTAATCCAAAAGTATAACTTTTTTACGTATAAAGATTTAATGTGCGATTTTAATTGTTATAATGTAAATCTATAGATATCTTTTGTTCAGAGACCCATAATGAAATTTGGTGTAGAATATTTGTTCCATTAACACCTACCCTGAAAGAAGACATTCTATGGGTCAAATGGCCACCTAAATGACATATGTAAGAAATTAACCCCAAAATGTTATTTTCAAATGTCAAAACAAAATATTAATTTTTTATTGTGAAATTGTTAAACTACAAATTTCTTTTGGTTGAGGACATCTAGTGAAATCTTATTTAGAAAAATTCTTCCATTGGTTCCGACATCAAAAACTGAGGTTTTATGGGTCAAGAGGACCCCTTAATCTAAATGTGTATAATTGACCTAAAAAATGAGAATTTTTAAAATGTAAGAATATGTCATTGCCCTTTTTTCTTCAAAAATAATTTTATAGATTTCTGTTTGTCGGAGACATATCGTGAAATTTTATGTAGAACATTTCTTTCATTGACACCCATCCCAAAATATAAGGATTTGTGGTTCAAAGGACACCTAGTCGAAATACATAAAAAATTAAACCATTTAAACTATTAAACTATTTTGTTGATAAATTGTTAAACTACAAATTCCTTTGGTTGAGGACCCCTAGTGAAATCTTGTATAGAAAAATTCTTTCATTGTTTCCGACTTAAAAAAATGAGATTTTATAGGTCAAACGACCACACACTCGAAATATGTAAGTAATTGACCCAAAAATGTGAGTTTTTGGGTCAAATTAAGTTTTTTAAACGTCAAAAAGAAATATTGATTTTTTATTGTGAAATTGTTAGACTACAGATTTCTTTTGGTTGAGTACCTCTAGTGAAATCGTCTGTAGAAAAATTCTTCCATTAGTGCCGACATCAAAAAATTAGGTTTTATGGGTCAAGAGGAGACCTCAGTCTAAATGTGTATAATTGACCTAAAAATGTGTCTTTTTTAAATGTCAAGATTAGGTATTGACATTTTTTGTTAAATAATAATTTTACAGATTATTGTTGGCCGGAGACTTATAGTGAAATTTCATGTAGAATATTTGTTCCATTGACACTTATCCTAAAATATGAGGATTTGTGGGTCTAAGGACCACCTAGTCGAAATACATAAAAAATTTACCGCCAAAAACGGCTTTTAAAAATCTTAAGATTTAATGTTGCTATTTTATTGCTAAATTGTTAAACAACAAAATTCTTTTGTTAGGAGAGTCCTAGTGAAATATTGTGAAGAATAATTCTTCCTTTGGTTTCGATATCAAAAAATGAGATTTTATGGGTCAAGAGGACCCTAAATATGTATATATGTAAAAAATGTGATTTTTTCAAATGTGAGAATTTGTTATTACCGTATTTTGTTAAATAATAATTTTACAGACTACTATTGGTCGGAGACTTATAGCGAAATTTGATGTAGAATATTTTTTTCATTGACACTTACCCTAAAATATAAGGGTTTGTGAATCAAAACACCACCCAGTCGAAATACATAAAAAATTTACCCCAAAAACGACTTTTTAAGATCTAAAAGTTTAATGCTGCTATTTCATTGTTAAACTGTTAAACTTCAATTTTTTTTGTTAGGAGAGGTCAAGTGAAATTTTGTAAAGAATAATTCTTCCTTTGGTTCCGACATCAAAAAATGAGGTGTTATGTGTCAAGAGGACCACTCAACCTAAATATGTATGTAATTGACTCAAAAATGTGAATTTTTAAAATGTGAGAATTTTTTATTAGCTTTTTTTGTTAAATAATAATTTTACAGATTATTGTTTGTCGGAGACCGATAGTGAAATTTTATGTTGAATGTTTGTTCCATTGACACTTACCCTAAAATATGAAGATTTGTGTGTCAAAACACCACCCAGTCAAAATACACCAAAAATTAACCCCAAAAACGTATTTTTAAAAATTTAATTTTGTTATTTTTAGATAAATTGTTAAACTACAAATTTCTTTTGGTTGAGGACCCCTAGTGAAATCTTATGTAGAAAAATTCTTCCATTAGATCCGATATCAAAAATGGAGGTTTTATAGGTCAAAGGACCACCCAATTGAAATATGTGAGCAAATAACCCAAAAAGGTGTGTCTATTTTAAATGTAAAGATTATATATTGCCATTTTTTGTTAAATAATAGTTTTACAGATTTCTGTTTGTCGGAGACTTATAGTAAAATTTGATGTAGAATATTTGTTCCATTGACACTTACCCTAAAATATGAAGATTTGTGGGTCAAAACACCACCCAGTCGAAATACATCAAAAATTTACCTCAAAAATGTCTTTTAAAATCTAAGGATTTTATGATGTTTTTTCAATGTTAAATTGTTAAACTACAAACTTCTTATGGTTGAGGACCTCTAGTAAAATCTTATGTAGAAAAATTCTTCCATTGGTCCCGACATCAAAAAATAAGGTTTTAAAGGTCAAAGGACCACCCACACAAGATATGTTAGTAATTGATCCAAAAAAGATGAATTTTTCAAATGTAAGAAATTGTTATTACTGTATTTTGTTAAAAAATAATATTACAGATTATTGTTGGTCGGAGACTTATAGTGAAATTTTATGTAGAATATTTGTTTAATTGACACTTATCCTAAAATATGAGGATTTGTGGGTCAATCGTGGTCATGATCGAAATATATAAAAAATTTCCCCCAAAAATGGATTTTTAAAATCTATAGATTTAATGTTGCAATTTTATTGTTAAATTGTTAAACTACAAAGTTCCTTTGGTTGAGGACCCCTAGTGAAATCTTATATAGAGAAATTCTTCCATTGGTTCCGACATCAAAAAATGAGATTTTTTGAGTCAATGGGTCACCCAAAAATGTGAATTTTTAAAATGTGAGAATTTGTTATTACCGTATTTTGTTAAAAAACTAATTTTATAGATTTATGCTCGTCGGAGACTCATATTGAAATTTTATGTAAAATATTTGTTCCATTGACACTTAGCCTAAAATATGAATATTTGTTTGTCAAAGGATTACCCAGTCGAAATACATCAAAAATTAACCCCGAAAATGGCCCTAAAGCTAAAAAAATAACCTTATTTTTTGGAGATTTTTTTTCTGGATATCCACTGGAGCTACGGATTTCTTGTAGTCGGGAACATAATTTGAGATTTTGTGGAAAATATTTCTCTCTTTAACATTCCTTGTCAAAAATCAAAAATCAAATCAAAACATAACCTAAAAATATGTGCTAAATAACAGAAAAAATGACCCAAAAATATTGGCTATATATTCTGGATATCTACTTGATATACGGATTTAATGTAGTCGGGAACATATAGTGAAATTTTGTGAAGAATATTTCTTCCTTTAACATTCCTCCCAAAAAATCAACTTCAATGGGTCAAAACGGCTTCGAATCAAAACATAACCTAAAAATATTGATGAAATGGTTGAAAAAATAACCTAAATTGTTGGAGATTTTTTTGTGGATATCTACCAGAGCTATGGATTTCTTGTAGTCGGGGACATGTAGTGAAATTTGGGGGAGAATATTTCTTCCATTAACAGTCCTCGCCAAAAAACAAATTTAATAGGTCAAAATGGCCTCGAATCAAAACATAACCTAAAAATATGTGAGAAATAACTAAAAAAATAACTAAACGTGTTAAGGATTTTTTTTCTGGATATCCATTGGAGCTACGGATTTCTTGTAGTTGGGGACATGTAGTGAAATTTTGTGGAGAATATTTTTTCCTTTAACATACCTCGCCAAAAATCAAGTTCAATGGATCAAAATGGCCTCGAATCGAAAACAACTTTGTAAATAGGCAACTCTTCTCAGGCTTTTTTGTAAATAGGAGATTTTCTAAAAGTCTTCCACAATGAGAAGACCTTTCCAAAATTTTTTCCCAGATGGAAGATCTCTCTAAGGGTCTTATATTGAAATAATACCCTTAAAAAAGTTTCTTCTATGAAAAAAACCCTTTCTGCAACGGCCTTTCTCTCATATCAAAATTCCCTTTGAAATTTATCAAAAATTAAAACTTTTTCTTCATTTCATATTTAATTTAAGTTTAGATAATTTTTTAAGAAGATAAATAAATCTTCTTAAAAAAATTATCTAAACTTTAAAGCTCATCGCAAAGCAACTTAAACATGTTTAAGCTGTTTTGTCTGTGGCCAAAACAAACAAAGCTTTTGTGTGACCAAACAAAACTTTGGCCACAGAGATCTTAAAGATACCGTTGAATGAATGGCTTGCTGGCTGACTGTCTATCTTCTCATTGCTATCTTGGCTATATGAAAAGCTCAATTGTTGTTTTTGTTGTTGTTGCTACCTTTACAACAAACATTTGCTCAACTGAACTTTTGTTGGGAATGCTGGGTTGGTTATTTAGTTGAGTTACGGTCTTCAAAGCGAATGGTTGATGTGAAACGGAGTTAAAGGAAAAAAATCGAAAACAAGTGTTTCAAAAACTCTACAACGGTAGTGCGGATTTAAAAGATTTTTGAAAACTGTTAAAAAATAATAAAAAAAAAACAAAAACAATAATAAAAAATATATAAAAATTATTTTAAGACATGTGGAGTGATATGAGAATAATTTGATGCTCAAATACGAATATTCCAATTTTTGATTTCAAAACTCAAAAAAGAGTTGTTGCAAAATCAGAATAAAAACAAATTACAAAGTTTGGAAAAAATTGAGGTTATAAACTAAATAAATATATTATTAAAATAATAATAATCGATACATAAAAATTGGATTTAGGCGACACATTGATTTCAAATAATTAAAAAAAAATATAAAAAAATATAAATAAATATAAATAAATAAAACATTTCAAATCGAATTTATCTGCCATCTGGGGTAGCCATTCATCGTCAAGACAATTTAGCAAAATTTCAAAAAAAAAAATCTTAGAAATTATTGAAAACTTTAAAAATCCAGCAACCAACCTTTCAACTACTATTCCCCCCTGATTTATGTAGCCCCCTATACCCCTGCCAAGCCTTTTACATTATCTCCGTGTTCTTTATTGTTTTTTTTCTTCGCTTTTTGTAAATTGAGAACTGCCTGGATGGCCAACAACCAAATCATACGGCCAATGGCCAAAACGGAGACCATTATCATGGCATTTAGCTCGGCTGGCTGACTGGCTGGCTGTCCGGCTAGTTGGCGTGTGTAATTACGAGCCGTTTTGAAAGTGTTTTGAAACTATTAGTGCTTCTAATTCGTTGTAGTGTATGCTACACTTATGATATTTGCACACAGACACATATACATAAAAACACACACATGCACACAGACACATATATGTACTCACTCACAACATATTCTTATTTCTTAGAGCCCAAGCAAAGCAAAGCAAACCCAACCAACCAACCATTGTTGCCATCACATAATATCTGTATTAAATGTTTGTCCGTCCGCCACTACGTCTGTCCGTCCGTCCGTCCGATCCCAGTATCTGTGTAGACTTGTAAAAGTGTTTGAATTTGCGAGTTCTAGGCTGCTGTTTTTCTTCCATCGCCAGCACCAACAACCCGAGCCGACGAACATTTTTCTTTTCTAATCCGATTTGCGTGCATTGAACTACTTCGCGAAACCAAAAAGCAATGCTCTCATGGATTGCACAGTGGTGTTTGGGAAATGGAGGGGAAATTCGCCAGGGGAAATGGCAGAGATTTTCCGGGTCAGGAAATGCTTTTCCATAAAGGTGTTTGGATAAGTAGCAAATGGAGGAGAAGGATAATGTGGATACTGTGCCTATGATGACCGGATAAAGTATCTGTGGCGAGGATAATGTATCTATGGTTTCTGGATGAAATAGATAATGTATCTATGGCGTAGATATCGTATCTATGGTATCTGGATAAAGTATCTATGGCGTGGATAATGTATCTGTGGTATCCACATAACGTGGATAACGTATCTATGGTATCTAGATAACGTGGATAACGTATCTACGGCGTGGAAAATGTATCTATGACATCTGGATAAAGTATCTATGGCGTGGATAATGTATCTATGGTATCTAGATAACGTGGATAATGTATCTATGGTATCTAGATAAGGTGGATAATGTATCTATGGTATCTAGATAACGTTGATAATGTATCTATGGTATCTAGATAACGAGGATAATGTATCGATGGTATCTAGATAAGGTGGATATTGTATCTATGGCGTGGATAACGTATCTATGGTATCTAGATAACGTGGATAATGTATCTACGATATCTAGATAACGTGAATAATGTATCTATGGCGTGGATAAAGTATCTACGGTATCTAGATAACGTGGATAATGTATCTATGGCATCTAGATAGTGTGAATAATGTATTTATAGCGTGGATAATGTATTTATGGTATCTGGATATGGTGGATAATGTATCTATGGCGTGGATAAAGTATCTACGGTATCTAGATAACGTGGATAATGTATCTATGGTATCTAGATAAGGTGAATAATGTATCTATGGCGTGGATAATGTATCTATGTTATCTGGATATGGTGGATAATGTATCTATGGTATCTAGATAAAATGGATAATGTATCTATGGCGTGGATAAAGTATCTACGGTATCTAGATAACGTGGATAATGTATCTATGGTATCTAGGTAAGGTGAATAATGTATCTATAGCGTGGATAATGCATCTATGGTATCTGGATATGGTGGATAATGTATCTATGGCGTGGATGAAGTATCTACGGTATCTAGATAACGTGGATAATGTATCTATGGTATCTGGATATTGTGGATAATGTATCTATGGTATCTAGATAAAATGGATAATGTATCTATGGCATGGAATAATGTTTCTATGGCGTGGATAATGTATCTATGTTATATGGATAAGGTTTATAATGTATCTGTGGCACCTAGATAACGTAAATAATGTATCTATGGCGTGGATAAAGTATCTACGGTATCTAGATAACGTATATAATGTATCTATGGTATCTAGATAAAGTGGATAATGTATCTATGGCGTATAATGTATCTATGGTATCCAGATAACGTGGATAATGTATCTATGGCATCTAGATACCGTGGATAATGTATCTATGAAATCCAGATATCGTGGATAATGTATATATGGCCTACAGATACCGTGGATAATGTATATATGGCTCGGATAACGTATCGATAGTATTTAGGTAACGTGGATAACGTATCTATGGCTCGGATAATGCATTTATGGCATCCAGATACCGTGGATAAAGTGTCTATGCCGCGGATAACGTATATACGGTGTCCAGAAATCCTGAATAAAGTATCTATGGCATCAAGATAACGTTGATAATGTATCTATGGCATTCAGATACCGTGGATAACGTATCTATGGCTCGGATAATGTATCTACGGTATCCAGAAATCCTGAATAATGTATCTAAGGTTTCAAGATAACGTGGATAAAGTATCTGCTTGATCCACATAACCAGGATAATTTATCTACTTCATCCACATAACCTGAATAATGTTCCTCCTAACTCCAAATATATCTATACTATTTAAATACCCCTCTTCCACTGTGCAAGGACTCTTCACTTGTGAATTTTCACAAAAATAACATGTTTGTGAGAGTATGTGTGTGTGCGAGTATATGTGCCTGTGTGCCACTTTAAGTTGAGGTAGCTCATTACAAGGGCAATACTTTCAATTTCATTTACACTCTATTTAATTCCTGTCGGCGAACAATACCAAAGATAAATGGCGTGTGTGTGAGAGAGAGAAGGAGATAAAACTAAGCTGCCTACAGGATTCCGCTACCCCACAATTGGAGGTAAGTACAATACCCATTTGTTGATAACTTAATTAAGAGAAATGTGTGCGGAATTTATTGTTCCGACATTTATTATCGTCGGAAATAGTTTTATGGCCATTTGACACACACACACAATGGAGGTGACAAAATGCCTGACAAAAGGACAAATGTTAAGGGGGATTATGGTTTATGGAGGCTTTTAGAAGATACCTTTCTTGTCCAAGGGAACTTAAATTGGAATTTGAGTGTCAAGAATTTAAAGTTTTGAATTCAAAACATTTTCAAAATTTCCCCGGCAATTTTAGCCAATTTTTACATCTGCAGCCATTGCCCAACAAGTGTTGATTTATTTGTTTAGTAACTGGCTTTGAGACATCTCCCCAGATTTGTTGTTGTAGTTTTTTGCTGTTCAATAACGCTTCACACTCCTACCCCATGGCCGAGGTATTATAACGCTTTGATATCCAGCTGGCTGGCTGGCTGACTGGCCGTTTAGATGCTTGGCTGGTATTTTCATAATTAAAAAAAAAATCTGTACTTCTAGCTGGAAAACCTTGCATGCCAGCCTCTCTGCTGGCTCTAGTATCACTCACATGTGTTGGCCACAAAATCTAACAACAACAAAATCTTAGCTACAACAACATCCAGCTATAATTCTCTTAAGATCACAAAAGTCAGACATTAGAAACCTGAAGCTAAGCAGCGTCTAACAGATCGCTTAACCGCCAAGATGAAGAACGAAGTATTTGTCGTCGTCGAGGTGGTGGTGGTGTTGGTGGCGATGGCGGTCGTGTAATGATCTCACACACAGCGTTGAATGTTGTTGCAGCAGGGTCCAACAACAACAACGGCAACGCCATTAAGTTGGCAAATTCGTCAAGTAAACAAAAACGTGATAGCCGATACATAGCTGTTTACTCGCTTCGCCAAGAACGAGCCGAGCTGAGAAGACAAAGCGACATTCCATTTGAAATTTACTCCAAAAATATATAAAAAAACGGATAATGGGGATAAAGTATCTGCGGTATCTAAATGAGGTGGGTAATGTATCTATGGCGTGGATAATGAATCTACGACATCTAGAGAACGTGGATAAAGTATCAAAGGTATCTAGACCACGTGGATAATGTATCTTTGAGGTGGATAATGTTTCTACGGTATCTAGATAACGTGGATAATGTATTTACGGTATCTAGATAACGTGGATTATGTATCTGCGATATCTAAATAATGTGGATAATGTATCTATGGCGTGGATAAAGTATCTCAGATATCTAAATGATGAGGATAATGTATCTATGGCGTGGATAAAGTATCTATGATATCTGGAGAAAGAGGATAATGTATCTTCGGTATCTAGATAACGTAGATAATGTATCTATGGCGTGGATAATGTATCTATTATATTCAAGGATGTGGATAAAGTATCTACGGTATCTAAATAATGTGGATAACGTATCTATTGGATGGATAATGTATCTACGTTATGTAAAGAACGTGGATAAAGTATCTACAGTATCTAAATGATGTGGATAATGTATCTATGGCATGAATAAAGTATCTGTGATATCTAGAGAACGTGGATAAAGTATCTACGGTATCTAGATAACGTAAATAATGTATCTATGGCGTAGATAATGTATACGCGGTATCTAGATAACGTGGGTAGTGTGTCTATGACGTGAATAATGTATTTACCATTTCTAGAGAGCTTGGATAAAGTATCTACAGTATCTCAATGATGTGGATAATATATATATGGCATGGATAATGTATCTACGATATTTAAAGAACGTGGATAATGTATCTACGGCATCTAGGGAACGTGGATAATGTATCTATGGCGTGGATAATGTATCTACCATATCTAAAGAACGTGGATAATGTATCTATGGCGTGGATAATGTATCTACGGCATCTAGGGAACGTGGATAATATATCTATGGCGTGGATAATGTATCTATGGCGTGGATAATATATCTACGGCATCTAGGGAACGTGGATAATAAATCTATGGCGTGGATAATGTATCTACGGCATCTACAGAACGTGGATTATATATCTATGGCCTGTATAATGTATCTACGGCATCTAGGGAACGTGGATAATATATCTATGGCGTGGATAATGTATCTACGGCATCTAGAGAACGTGGATAATATATCTATGGCGTAGATAATGTATCTACGGCATCTAGGGAAGGTGGATAATATATCCATGGCGTGGATAATTTATCTACGGCATCTAGGGAACCTTGATAATGTATCTAAGGCATCTCGGGAACGTGGATAATGTATCTATGACGCCTAGATAAATATCAATCGGATTAGATTAAAATATTGAAGTTTAGTTAGTTATCCAATTCACACCCTACACTCAAGTGGTCCACTCATGCATCTATGACCATGGCTGTAGAACTGGCAGATTTATGATGGTGGGGGATGTTTTAATAACCAGTATTTTTTTCTACTGCTGCTGCTGCCTCTCATAGCGATACCCGCAAACTTTAGTTCAATGTTTAGAGGTTTCTTGTTGTTGTTGCTCTTGTGTTTTTTTGCACGTTTTTAAAGGCGTGTTTTATTGGCTTGCCTGGTTTTAATAACTTGGCTTGGTTCTTGAAGGGGTTTCAAAGTTTAAAAGTTGTTCAATTGCAAAATTCACACAAGTGGCTGTGTGGTATTGTTTTCAAATTTAAAGTTTTTCGTTTGGAAATATTTGAAATGAGAGAAAAAAATTGATTTGTTGTGCTGTTTTTTTTGCCACAACAAAGCTAATCGGTTTGGTGTTCCAATTTTTGTTTTTTGTTTTATTTTCTTTTTGCTGTGAACTTGTTTGGGAATCGATTTGTGTTTTATGACTGCCACAACTTGTGTTGGTAATTTCGTTTTTTGTTTTTCACTGGCTATCTGTAATTATTTTCCATTACAATTTAGATTTTTTGCTTCGGCTTAGAGATAAGAGATTTGATGATTTTTTTCAGGTTCGAGATTGAAGACGTCAGGCAATTTGTATTTGGCGAGTGATTGAAAAGGAATCTGTTTTTTGTGATTAAATTTCAGAGAGTAATTGATGGAGAGAGAGAGAGAGAGAGGGGGGACGAGATTTGTTATAATTTGTCAATCGGAGAAAGTATATTTTTTTGTCGAACCAGTTCTTATTTCAATTTTTTTTCGTAATGACTTCTTGTATTGAATTTTGAATGGCTGTTGCCTAAAGATTATCTTCTATTAAAAATTAACAAATCGCTTATCTCGATCTCATTTGAAGACCGTTAGAATTGAATAAAATGGTATTTTAATTTGTTGTTTGGCAATCGAAGACAGATACATTTTGTTCATTAGCTATGAAATTTGTTTGGTTATGTTCAATATCAATGAAATATTTGTCGATATTTCCGGCTACCGGAGAGGATGTTTTGAAATTTGAGACATGAAATGGAAAATCTGACAAAAATAAACAAAAGCAGAGATGGTATTCGGATAATGTATCAACGATATTTAGATAACGTGGATAATGTATCTACGATATCTAAATAACGTGGATAATGTATCTACGATATATGGATAACGCGGATAATGTATCTACGATATCTAGATAACGTGGATAATGTATCTATGGCGTGTATAATGTATCTACGGTATTTGGATAACTCGGATAATGTATCTATGGTGTGTATAATGTATCTACTGTATTTGGATAACGCGGATAATGCATCTACGATGTCTAGATAACGTGTATAATGTATTTATGGCGTGTATAACATTCCTATGGTATTTGGATAATGCGGATAATGTATCTACGATATCTAGATAACGTGAATAACGTATCTATAACATGGGTAATGTATCTACGATACATGGATAACGCGGATAATGTATCTTCGATATCTAGATAACGTGGATAATGTATCTATAGCATGGGTAATGTATCTAAGATGTATGGATAACGCGGATAATGTATCTACGATATCTAGATAACGTGGATAATGTATCTATGGCGTGTATAATGTATCTACTGTATTTGGATAACTTGGATAATGTGTTTACGATATCTAGATAAGTGGATAATGTATCTATAGCATGGGTAATGTATCTACGATATATGGATAACGTGGATAATGTATCTACGATATCTAGATAACGTGAATAACGTATCTATAACATGGGTAATGTATCTACGATACATGGATAACGCGGATAATGTATCTTCGATATCTAGATAACGTGGATAATGTATCTATAGCATGGGTAAGGTATCTAAGATGTATGGATAACGCGGATAATGTATCTACGATATCTAGATAACGTGGATAATGTATCTATGGCGTGTATAATGTATCTACGGTATTTGGATAACGCAGATAATGTATCTACGATATCTAGATAACGTAGATAATGTATCTATGGCGTGTATAATGTATCTACTGTATTTGGATAACTCGGATAAAGTATCTATGGCGTGTATAATGTATCTACGATATCTATATAACGTGGATAATGTATCTATGGCATGTATTATGTATCTACGGTATTTGGATAACTTGGATAATGTATCTATGGCGTGTATAATGTATCAACTATGTGTGGATAACGCGGATAATGTATCTACGGTATCTAGATAATGTGGATAATGTATCTATAACATGAGTAATATATCTACGATCTATGGATAACGCGGATAATGTATCTACGATATCTATATAACGTAGATAATGTATCTATGGCGTGTATAATGTATCTACGGTATTTGGATAACTCGGATAATGTATCTATGGCGTGTATATTGTACCTACGGAATTTGGATAACGTGGATAATGTATCTACGATATCTAGATAACGTGGATAATGTATCTATGGCGTATATAATGTATCTACGGTATTTGGATAACGCGGATAATGTATCTACGATATCTAAATAACGTGGATAATGTATCTTCGATATCTAGATAACGTGGATAATGTATCTATGGCGTGTATAATGTATCTACTGTATTTGGATAACGCGGATAATGTATCTAC